CAGTATCATTTAATTTGAAATTTACTATTTAACAATAAAAAATCAATGTCCTGTTGAGCAACCCACCCCCCAAAAAAGTATCAATAACTTTGAAATCATTAATCTATTTATAAAATAGTAAAATTAGATGGATGTTTACAACAATATCACCAATATTGCTTAATATTTAGGGACATGAATGGATAAAATGCATTTAAATTATATCCATTCAAAGATGCAAAGAACGAAGAAAATCATTCAAAGAGTTGCTAAGAAAAACAATCCATGCCAAACAACATTTGCATATGCATCCATGCTCTGAAGTAAGAGAAGAAAAATATATCAAGTATGGTTACAATCAACTGATAATTTAATCAGGACTCTAAAGCCCATCCAACAAAGGAAACATGAAAAGAAAGGAGAATAATGGGACCATCCTAAGTATGGAAGTCACCTCCAAATTAGGTGGTAACGCTTCTTTTGGTCAATCATGGTTACAGATTTCAAGTCTAAGCTCCCCACAGTGCACATAGACTGGCTATAATTTATCTTTAGGAAAAAGGTAGGGAAACATGTACATAACATAATGGTATGTTTGAATTATGAGAATTGGGAGATAGAAATAGGAAATGTAGGTTGAAATTATAATTTTGGGCATGTTGATGTGTCAAATTCATGTCAATTGGAATACTTATAGATTTATAGTTCATTCACTTAGTAGCAATTTGAATATATTTTTTTATTCCATGTCTTTATTGAGTAATATAAATTAATAATATATTAATAATTGTAAAATCAGTAATAATAGTAAGTATATTATTATTACTATTATTTACTAATAATATATTCTTATTATGTGTGTATTGATTTTGAAATCAGTAATATTAAATTATTATTATTATTATTGTGAAATAATTAATTTATTATAATTATGATTTTAGTTAATTCCTGAAATAAAATTTGCTTTTATATTTCTTTTAGTTTAACAATAATGGATAATTGAAAGTTTATAATTTAACTTTAATCAAATGAAATATTTATTGGAGAATAATAATAGTATTAATTATAATAATAATAATAATGTAAATAAGTAACACTAATTATATATTTATAAAATAATTAATATGAATTAATATAAATATAAAATGATTATATCCTGAGTAATAATTAACATTATTAAAGTACTTATTAATTGTCATTAAATAATTAACATTCCGAAGTAATAATTATCATTGTTATAATTAAGGAATTAATTATTAGTAAGTAATTATAATCAGTAATTAAATTTTATCAGAAATCATTATTATTAGTAATAATTAAGTATAATTATTGATTATAATAATATAAATATATAATTATATTAATTAATATAAGTATTAATTATAATTACTAATAATAATAATATAATTAATTATTTCATATAAATGTATGAATTATAATTCTTAAATAAATAATTAACATTAAATATTTATTTTCAAAATAATTAATATGAATTCATATAAATATAAAATGATTATTTTCAAATTATTAATTACCATTATGAAAATCATTATTAATTATCAATACGAATTAATAACGAGAAATATTATCAAGAATTATTTAATATCAATAATTATTATCAGTGAGTTATTATTATTAGTAATTAATGGCTGAAATAATTAATTAGAAGTCATTAATTATTATTAGTACCCCTCTCTTTAAAAAACTTGACTCATCATCATCGTCATTCAATATTTTTTTTTGCAAAAATCCAAATAATTTTTCATTTGCAATGCTAACCATTTTAGCATTGCAAAGAGTATTTAAAATTATTTAGTAAATAATAATTTTAAGAAATTAAAATTATTAATTAATTATCTCTCCGAATTAAAATGGGTAATTTCAGCAAATAATTTTAAGTAATTAAATTTTGCTATTAACATTTTTTAATAACATTCAGTATTATTAATAAACTAATAATTATGAATTCAGTAACAATAATATGTATATTATTAACTAATAATATATTCTTATTATGTGTGTATTGATTTTGAAATCATTAATATTAAAGTATTATTATTATTACTACTATTAATTTTATTAATTAATGAATTTGTTATAAATATAATTTTTAGTTAATTCATAAAATAATATTTGCATTTATAATTCTTTTAGTTTAACGATATTGAATAATAGAAAGTTTTATAATTTAACTTTCACTAAATGAAGTATTTATTGGAGAATAATAATAGAATTAATTATAATAATAGTACTACATATAATTACTTGTAATAATAATAATGTAAATAAGTAAGATTAATTATATATTTATAAAATAATTAATATGAATTAATATTAATATAAAATGATTATATCCCAATTAATAATTAACATTATTAAAATACTTATTAATTATCATTAATTAATTAAAATTCTAAAGTAATAATTATCATCATTTTTATTTGCAATAATTAATTATAATAATAATAATATAATTATATTAACTAATATAATATAATTAATTATAATTACTTATAATAATATAATTAATTATTTCATATAAATGTATGAATTATAATTTCTGATAATAATTATAATATAAATAATTAACATTAATTATTTATTTTCAAAATAATTAATATATGTTAATATAAATATAAAATGATTATTTCTGAATTATTAATTATCATTATTTAATCATCATTTCGAATTAATAATGAGCAATATTGTGAGTAATAAATTATGAGTAATCAAGTATTAGCTGTAATTATTATAAGAAATAATTGTCAGTAATTAATTATTATCTGTGAATAATTATTATTAGTAATTAATAGCTTAAACTAATTAATTAGAAGTAGTTAACATTAATTAATTAGTACTTAACAATAATTATTATTAGTAATTAATTAATTAGAAGTAGTTAATAGTAATTAATAGCTGGAATTAATTAATTAGTTTAGTAGTTAACATTAATTAGTAACACAATTTTCTTTTTTTTTAGGAAATGGTTAAAAGTGGGAGCTTCCCATTTCTCACAACTCTGCATGGTGGTAGGCTCCACTCTCTATGTTAGTGGCCTATTTTTTTGAACTACCACTAATCAGAATTTGACACATGTTCATTTTGTTTAAATCTTTGGAATGATGGGGCCATGCCCATATTTTGTTAAGTAGTTAGAAGAATTTGTGTGATAATGGGCACGGCAAATGGGAGTTCTATCAACCCACTAAATGGCCATTACTCCATTTTGTGTGACAATGGGGGCAACTGAACGGGTGATTGGAGGTTGGAGTGGTCGATTTTAGGGTTTGTTTGAATGGGTTATTCCAATCCCAATGTTTGATTAGGTAGAATTTCATTCTCATTCCTGCTGGGAATGACATTTCCCATTTGAGAATAAAATTCATTATATCTTATTTCAATTCAGATTCTTATTCCAAATTGAACCAAACAGATTGCCGAAATAGACCATTCCCAATTCCGAGGGATTTTAATTCCATTCTGATTCAGACCACGAATCAAACGGGCCCTTGGTGGATAACGTGCAAGGTGCGAACTAAACCATCGAACTCCCGCCAAACCTTTATTTTCAACCATCAAGAGTGAGAGCTGAAAAGATTCAGCAATAATAGCAAGTCGCTTGTCTTTCTCCGCTTGAAAGTTAAAAATCCCCCGACTCAGAGGGAATCTATGATCCGTAGTTGTCTTTAATCAACACTAGGGTTTCGGCTTGTCCTCACTCGGGGATTATTGTTCCCAGCAATGGCGGACAAGATCTTGAGGAGGTCTCCGAGAAGCTGCATCTCTCATCCACAAGGTAAGGCCTGCATTACTCCGTCTTTGAATGTGGCTGCTACGGCGACGTCGGACGAGAAATGCGTTACAAGTTCTCCAGGAATCTTCTCGGCTTCGATGGGGACTGAATGTAGGAGCTCAAAGGATAATTCAGTTCTGTTTCCTGATTCTACTGAGAAACGACCTCCAGTGACCGAAAATGGTAAAAGGCGCATGGCTCCGTCATTGAAAACAGCTGAGGGGACAATGCCGGACGAGAAACTTGTCAGAAGATCTCCAAGAATCTCATCGGCCTCGTTGGGGACTAAAAACAACAACATAAGTGATAATTCGCTTGAATTTATTGATTTTGCTAAGAAACGGTTGTCTTCAGCGCCTGAAATTGGTAAAAGTCATTTGGTTCTATCTCCGAAGACAGATGACCTGACAAATCCGGACGAGAAATGTGTCAGGCGGTCTCAGAGGATGTCCTTAGCTTCAAAGGCATCCGACAACAGCAGTTCAAAGGGAAACCCTCTTGACTTTCTTGACTCGGCTGAGAAACGGCCTACATTGCTTGAAAATGGTAAGAACCGGATGACTGCGTCTTTGGAAACAGATGAACAAATATTGTTGGACGAGAAATATGTAAGGAGATCTCCAAGAATCTCCTTAGATTCGAACAAATCCCTTGAGTTTCTCGATTCTGCTCAGAAGCGGCCTTCAGTGTATCACAATTGTAGTCGTATGAGCCCATATTTGAAAACAGCTGACCAGACAAGTCCGAATGAGAGATGTGTAAGACGATCTCCAAGGATATCCTTGGCTTTGATGGGGACTGAAAATATCCTCTCAAAGGGTGATTCTTTTGAATTGGCCAATTCTTCTCAGAAAGGGAATGACAAGGAATACGTTGTTTCCACTGATCAGGCAATGCTTGGTGAGAAATGCATCAAACGATTTCCAAGAACATCCTTAGCTTCGACAGTGACTGAAAACAACCATTCGAATTGCAGTTCGCTTGAATTTGAGGATTCTGCTGAAAAACCGCCTCCGAAGAAGCTAAAGGCCGCTTTTTCAAAGAATAAAAGTAAGGAATCTGACACTGTATCATTTTTCATTGGTGAGCCAGTCCCTGCTGATGAAGCTCGACAAAGGTGGCCTTGGCGCTATGAAGAGAAGGTATGTAATATGTTTGATGTTTGTATGGTTTATTCACCGTGAAGTTGGTCAACGTTGCTGCTTTTAGACTTTCAGTTGAGCCGCATTTAGTGATTTGAGGTTCAGTTAATTTTCTTTGAGCTCTGCATTTATTTATTTGTTTAGAAAGATAGCTATTTATTTATAAACTAAAGGGTTTACATGATATACAAAAAAAAAAGAACTTTCAGATTTCATTGTAAAAATCCCTCTCCACACTCCTCCTAGCTAGATCATCAGCCATCAAATTTTGTTCCATAGGCTCAGTTTGGCAAGAGTAGAAATGCAAATATGTAGAGTGCAAAACCTTATATTTTGTATTATTTTGTATGTATTTGTACTGTACATATTTGCATTTGTACTCCTTCCAAGCTGAGCCATAGGAATCCACCTTTATGCAATGGGAAAGAGTTCAGACTCTCTCTCTCTCTCTTTATATATATATATATATATATATATATATATATAATCATCATCATCATCCATGCCTTATCCCCACTACATGGGGTTTGCTACAACAATCCTGTTTGGCCAATCTTTCTATTTAAAGCCATATCCACTGTTAAATTATCAGTGCTTAAATCATTTCTTACTACTTCTACCCATGCCCTTTATGGTCTACCCCGAGCTCTTCTAACCCCTTTAATGTATAATAAATCACTTACTCTAATTGGCGCAATTCATGGGTTTTTATGCACATATTGGATCTACTCTTAGATTCTTATGGATAACTTCATTCCTAATCCTATCCCTTCTAGTTTTTCCACTCATTCATCTTATCATTCACTTTTTTGCCACATCCATTTTTTGAACATGTTGTTCCTTAACTGTCCAACACTCTCTTCCATACAACATAGATGGCCTCACAACTGTATAGAGAAATTTCCTTTTAATGTAAATGGTATTTACTTATCACATAAAAGTCCAAATGCACATCTCCATTTTGCCCATTGTACTCTAATTCTTTGGGTGACATCCTCAATCTCTCCCTTGTTATGAATTATTGAACCAAGGTACCGGAAATGGTCACATTGAGTTATCTATTGGTCTCCAATCCTAAGTCTATCTTGATTTGCACTCTTATTATTACTAAATTCTTTGGGTGAGACTTGTGTGTTGTGGCCTTCATCTGGCTTGTCAAGAGGAGATAATTCCCCTCTTTCAACACAAGGTAGGATCACCAGTGGCTCTAAGCTGGCGGTTGTAGAAGAATCTCTATAGGGTCTCGAGGGTGGTGCTAAGGTTTGTGGTGCAAGTTCTCCTTTGGCTACTGCAGATCAGGGTTCTTGCTTGAAGTACTTGTCTCACCCATTAGGAAAGTCAAGCAGTGTTCAAGATTTCGAAGCTGATTTGCATAATGACAAGAAGGAAAGTTGTTTGGGAAATAGGAAAGATGATAAGAGGAAGCTTCTAGGGCTATCAAACCAATTTTGAAAAGAAATGGAGTAACAAGGAGGGTCTCGACTGAGGCTAGAAAAAGAAAGGAAGAGAAGTGGATCTGGGTGATTGCCAAGTTTGACAAAAGTGGCAAGAAGAGGATCATTGGTGGTTCAAGAATGACTATCAACGATTGTCCATCTCTCGTGATTGGTGACATTGGTCTTTTATCTAAGGTCAGTAAGGAGTTTGATGGGATTTGTGTTTCTCCCAAACCCGGGGGTACGAGTATGACAACTTTAGAGATTAGACCTGATTTTGGAAATCCAGTTTTGCTGTTTTTAGAGGGTGTAGTCTCTGCTGAAATAGAGAGGCTGAAAAGGGGGGAGGAGAAGGTTTGGGAAAGCAATGTTAGTGCTAGTGTTGAGCCGGAAATTAAAGGCGATGTAGGAGGTGTTCCAACTTCAATAAAGAAAAGTAAAGTGGAAAAAAAGAGAAAAGAAGAAAATGAAGAACTCTCTCACAAAATGGCAATTAATCTCAATGTGTTTAGTCCTTTCATGAAACATTGGATTGGAGGCAATACGTGTTGTGGTTTGGTTGTCACAAAACAATATAATGGGTTGACAAATTGTGATATTCATCTCCTGAAGAAGATGCTTCAACCAAACTAGCTTGTAGGTAGCATGGGCCATTGCCTTGTATTCGGCTTCAGCACTACTCCTAGCAACCACACTTTTCTTCTTGCTCTTCTAGGTAATGCGATTTCCATACAAGAAGGTACAATAACCTATAGTAGACTTCCTGTCCATTGGAAACCCTGCCCAATTTGCATATGAATACTCTACCGGAGACATATCTCCCCCTTTCTTATATAAAATCCCTCGACCAGGAGAACCCTTTAGATACTTTAACACCCTTATAACACCACCCCAATGATTAGTTGTTGGGTTTTGCATGAATTGATTGAGGACTCCGACACTAAAGGAGATGTTAGGCCTAGTGATGGTAAGATAGATTAGCTTGCCTACCAGTCTCCGATACTTTTTAGGGTCTTCTAAGAACTCCCCTGACTATCAGTTATCTTCACATTGGAATCCATACGAGTTTCAATTGTCTTGGATCCCAACAATCCAGTTTCATCTAACATATGCAAAACATACATTTGTTGGGACAAATTGATTTCCCACTTTGATTGAGCTACCTTCATTCCAAGAAAGTATTTCAAGGTTCTTAGATCTTTAGTTTGAAAGTGTTGTCGTAGGAGCTGTTTCAACTCATTAATTCCATGTGCATCATTGCTAGTGAGAACAATATCATAAACGTACACTACCAGAATGATTTTCCCATATGAAGAGTCCTTGCTAAACATAGAATGATCAACATTACATTGTTTCAAGCCAAAATCTTGCACAACACTACTAAAACAACCAAATCATGCCCGTGGTGACTGCTTTAACCCATAAGTAGCCTTCTTCAATTGGCACACTTTCCTTGTCTCCCCCTGAGCAACATGCCAGGAGGTTGCTCCATATACCCTTGTTGAAGATTACCATTGGAGGAAAGCATTTTTAACATCAAGCTGAAATAGGGGCCAATCAAAGTGGGTAACTAAAGAGATGGACACTTGTACAAAACCTATTTTAGCCACAGGAGAGAAGGTTTTTGAATAATCCACACCATAGGTCAGGTGTAACTTTCCAGTTTTGCCCATCAATCTCCAAGGTCCAGGGCAATACTGGAAATCTGGTCCGGTTCAAGGATTCAAGTAATCCTACACTGCATGTGCCTTGGGTCTCACCCTGGCGGCTGAGACAAGCCACCCCAACA